AAGAAGTCACCCAAACCAAAGAGCTCACCAAAGAAGTCACCCAAACCAAAGAGCTCACCAAAGAAGTCACCCAAATCCAAAGGCAAGGAGAAGGAGGAAGGCTCAGAAGCAGGTAGCAAGATTACTACATCCAAGAAGTATGCCCACAAATTGTACATGCGGTTTTGGCGGTCCATCAACAAAAGTCTGAAGCTTAGACCTTCATCGAATTAAAAACTATTTCCGGGAGTATGTCCAGTTTAGCCAGCTGTGACTTAGGTCGCGAAACGCCAACAGAAATCAAATCCCTGGCAAAGCGGTTCAAATACTGTTTGGCCCTGAACTTTTCTGTTGACTACTCTGTAAGTACATGTGCTAGTAATGGGAGTTTGTGCATAAGGCAAGGCGCAGCAGCAAACCCTTTACGAGGACTTCTTGAAGACCGGTGGCAAATGGCGGAAGGGTATTGTTTGGAAGGAAGTTGTGCAAAGGAACAGGGGTGTAGCTCGCGGGGTGCGGAAATGGCTAACGCGGAGCGAGCTGATCAGGCATTTTGGCGACGAGAAAGTCGCAGATGCTGTGATCAAACGCAAGGAAGACATTGAAGAACTTCATGCAGAGATTCGCGACCATCCTGAACTGCCAGGCAATTTCTCAGAGTACTAGTGTGCTACATATATATACATATACACTCTTGTTTTTGTTGCATGCCAGGATTGAAACAATATTTGGTCCTCACAGAGGACTCAGAGGTTCAGGAGGAAGAAAATTTGGTGACTGACATGTTTAAAATGAGGGATAGTGCAGCTGGAAGTGAGAGCGAGTCTGAGGAGTCCAATAGCAACAGTTCAAGCAGTTCGGACAAGAAACGGAAAAAGAAAAAGGACAAGAAGAAAAAGGGGAAAGGGCGGGGTAGCAAGGGTAGGAAGCCAAAAAAGAACAAGAAGAAAGGGAAGAAAGGGGAGGAGGATGCAGAAGCAGAAAAGAAAGCAACGATTGAAAAAGATGCCAAAAAGGCTAGTTTGTCTTTTCGTATCGATATAGTTTACATGTACCCAGGGCCTTTGTTGAAATTGCAAGGCGGTTACAGATCTCACCAAAAAGATCAAAGTTTGCAATGAGAAGCTCTGCACAGCAAGCTCATGGTCCATCACTCAACTGCAATTCCCAGTACTAGCAATTATTTGTATGATATACCTGATCAGGTCCGCGAATGTGAAGGAAGCCATTTCAAAGGACATGAAGAGCATCATCGGCAACCTCACCAAGGCCCGCACTTCAATCCAGGCGCAGCTCGAAGCTGGCGTGAAGGACACCTGCCAAGTTGCAGAAATTCATTTCTCTGCTGCATTACTTCATGCAGGACTATTCGAAGTTGGAGTCAACTACTGAGGCTAGTAAGGCGTCAGTTGAGCAATACGAGCAATTCATGGAGCCGCTTACTGGCAAAAAGAAAAAGGAAAAGGAAAAGGAAACCACAGGAAAGTGAAGCTTCGTTGAGCGGCTTTGAATTTTGCTTGGAGAGATAAACGATCTGGCCTAAGTGACTGCAAGCTCGATGTTCAAGAATTTATAGGATTTGGAAGTGTTTGAAATTAAACAATTTGATATGTTTTGCATTTGCGGGTGAACCAGATCTACACCCTCCTTTCTCATAGACCACAAGCATTTTTAAGTTTGCTGTGGCTGGGATTGCGTGGTGTCTCCTCTCAAATTGTCTGACCAATCGCACCGCCACCACAAATGGGGTATTTGTGGAGAATCGCAGGAAAATAGAAGTTGCCTGCGAAGACAGAATCCAAATGGTAACAAGCACTAGCGAAGAGTGTGATCAAGATATATCCCAAAGCCAACTTTGCAGGTACAAACCAGGAGCTAGGTGCTGATGTGGCAGAGAGCCACAGACAGCACCAGCTCTGCAATGCACTGGATGCCGTTGCCGGGGGAGTTGGGAGCTCAGTAGAATTTGCCCCTCTCTATACCATCGCTCGAAACCCAATCCGACGCTGAGGCCTCCATCAATGAGAAGATGGCAGACATATCAGCGTGCGTCAAGGTCAGCCCCTGAGTCAGTGAGCTTGGTGGGGATCAGGGTCCAAAACCTCTGGTGATTGCAGGACACACCTTCAGGGCTTCCATCTTCTATTCGGAAGCTGGGCAGCTATAGCAAATTCAATCGATCACGAGATTTTCGCCGTGCTCTGGGAGTTCCATTGGAGCTGGGCTAGAGGGTCAAGTTTAAATTTGAATGTTGGTGTAAAAAGCGGAACTCCTCCCATAGCATAGTGATGTTGCAGGACCCGATTATGGTTGAGACTATCCTCAAAGATCCATTGAGCGGTGATGATGTGACCAAACTTCCGGTCAAAGTGCCTGTCTTTCTGCCTGAAGACATCCTTCGGTGCCTGATGGGGGAAATAGGGTTGGTTATCGAAGAGGATGCTGTGCAAAAGTACTGGCAGCATGCACGTGATCATGGCTGTCCATGGAAGGACATGTCCCCGGGACACCATCACCCTCTTGGCCTCTATGGTGACGCCGCCAAGTATTCTCCAACTGGTTCCAAAATTATAGCCTACTTCTTGAATCTTGTGCTGTGGGCTCCAAAGACAAGTCGGATGAGTAGATGGCTGCTCTTCACTTTAGAGAATGACCAATGTCTTGGAGCTGAGTCACTCAACCCTCTTTTTGGCCCAATCGTGGAATCATTAAACAGGTGCTATAATGGTATCAACATTGGAGGCCGTACAACGCACTATGTGTGTACAGAGCTGAGAGGAGACTGGGAATGGCATGTCTCGTGCTTTGGGCTACAACGTACTTGGCGACATCACACATTCTGTTGGAGATGTGATGTGTCGAGAGGACCTGGGGAGCCTTACCAGTATTGGGATTTCAGTGACAATCCAGGGTGGGCAACTACAGAAAAAAGTCATGTTGAATTTCTTTCTTCGATGGTATCATCCCGCCGTCCTTGATTCTTGGTAAGAACTTTGAATGCAACTTTGGAGGGTGTTTGACTTTCTTTGTGATGTTATTGATTTGGGGTTTGAGTGCATTCCTCCTAGCTATGACATGAGGTCCGCTGCTTTTGCTACCCATGTTCAACTACAAGCTCCTGCGCCATTGCTCATTACACAATTTAAACCTTGGAGTTGTTCAAGTTGCAAATGGCAGCAGTCTGCCACTAGGATGATAATGATGTGGTTGCTGTGCAGTAGCTTGAATTAGACACCCTGCACCAATGCCTGCCGCCCGCATGCTTCCAGGTTGCTACTTTGCGACCTGTCCTTCTTCGGGTGTGCGGAGAGCCTAACGTTGCGGCAGCGCTTATCCACTGCATACAAAGACTTTAGGGTTTGGTGCAAGAACAACAAAGTGGCCTGTGGGCAGCCTTTGTTCAAGGAATCCACCGAAGCTTTCCAAAAGATGTAGGTTTTGTTCTCTTTTGTTGGGCTGCATGGAGGAAAAGAACTTGCTGGGTCACTAAGCTAAGAAACCTAAGGTATGGTCCACCACAGCCGGAGCAAACATGAACTGCAAGGGCTACAACTCGCGGGTTATCCAAGCTTGGTTGTCCAGCTGCCTCAATATTGCTGTAAATCAGAACACTCCTGCAGATCGTTTTTGTGGGGCATGGATTGAGTCTGAAGTGCGGAACAGTGGGGGATGTTGGCCTCAACATGACTTGTTGGAGCCATCGGCTGTTTGCATGTTTCTTGGCCACGATGTGTTTGCGTGTTGAACCCTTTCGCCCCCGCACCCATCGACTGTACCTGATCTGAGGGATGCGCTCAATCGTTTCTTTTTGGCGATGGAATCGAGTGGCCGGTACCTGTGTCGCGGCATGAATCTGTCATTGATCATGTGCATGATGTAGATGTATATATCTGTGGGCAATCTTCCAGGTCAGGTGCAGAGGCAGAGCTTATCTATAGCACAGGGATGAAGTTTCTACGCACCCATCGACTTCTGACAGCTATGTCACAAAGGCCATGTTGCTTCCAAGTGTTTGGGGGTACCACTGGAATTTAATCTTGAACGCGTAGGCACAACTTGCTCTTCTGGCTGGGGAGACCGAAACTCCATGCCTTTGCCCTAGACGAAGATTCTTTGAGCCCAGATCGATTGTGAATTTAAATCCTTTTACCCAGGGTGTGCACCACCAATTACGAGACTGTCTCCAACGTCGAATCTTGGCCAATTTCCTCGATTAACTTGGCACTTCAATGTGTATAGTACTTACTTGATTCAACTACCGGAGGCTACAACATCCGTTATGAGCACACCTTCATTGACGAGGACCAAATGAAGTGGTGCAAAAGCAGTTTGGTTGCAAATGAACGAGAGCACACCCAGAAACTAATGGCACTGTGTGTTGCACCGCCTAAGGACTATGTCAGCTGAGTGACAGGCGAAACCTACCATTGAGCATTTCCAAGAAAGCTCCAATCAGGCTTTTGGCCATGAAACACCACATGGTCCGCCTAAATGCTGTAAATAAGCGACGTGCCATGAGATGATCGACTAGTGGGCGCACGTGATGACAAAGGCAGGCGGCGCTGCTGGTGGGCTGCCGCTGTTGTTTGTTGCCCAGGCCTAGATTATATGTATATATATATATATATCATATATATCTATCTATCTATCTATCTAGTTAAAGCATGTCTTTACGTCAAACCATGTCTTTACTTGAACGACAAAGTTTAACTTTGTCTTTGGAAGCATTGGGCTTGGTCAATTCTCTAGATTCCCATGATCAGTTCTGACCCCGCTGTGGTTTCCCCAATGCATCGGAGTCCCACAGGGAGATCCCAAGGGGTCGAAAACTGCCCGACGAGTCTTGGTGCGGATTGGTCGGTGTAAACGACGTGAAACGCCGTGAAGCGACGTGATCAGCAGCGCATTCGCCAGCCGTCGTCAGATATTGGGTCCCAGCCAGCTACATGTGATCCACTATCCAATGTACATGTATACTATGCAACAAACAAACGACCTGCCCGAATACGTCCGGAGTGTGTATATGAACGCCAGCAGCAGTGCACGCGATCGAGGGTTGGGAAGTTCGCCATTGCTTCAGTGCTCATGTTAAGCTGGCAAATGCTGGAAACAACAAAGCACCATGAAACTTCCTTCTCCCGGCTCGTTTTGCAGGATCTTCAGTGTTAAAAAAGGCCCAAATTATCTCTCTCTCTCTCTTAGAGGCTCCCGCAGAAATTTTCCAGAGTTCTACGCTTCGAAATCACACTTGTTTTCGTTTTTTGCTTGCTCCATGTGCACTGTCTGTCCCCTGCGCTATAGGTGTGTCCCGACCCGCCCGCGTCCACCTCCGACAGGCGCGGCGGATCTCCGGGAAGGACAAGGTGCCCGACTCATCGCGATCCAAGTGCCTCGCGGGACGGATCGCGGGATGGATCGAATCGGCTGGAGAGATTGGATGGAAAGAAGAAGCATCCGCTGGAATACAGCTTTAGTTATTGGGGTCGTCAATGGGGTCAATGATCAATGTATGAAAAATCCAAACCTCAAATCCTGAATAGTCAGAATGTCCAATTTGGAACTGCTTTCGGTGCGCGCTAAAAAATCAAATAGAAGAAAGGGGCTTAGCCGGAGCATCAAAGAGGGGTTTATAGCTTCTGGTGCAAAAACCACTAAATAGCCTAATATCTAACATATTCTATTTGAAACCTGTCCGGTGAGGCTCATCTTCTATTTGAAATGTGTGTTTTTGATTTTCTTGTTGATTTCATTTTTTGTCCATGCAGAGTTGAGTTTTTTTTCCTCGCCGGTCCGTTGTATCAGCACTTTGGGGTAGGAAAAGGCTGCTTTGCACTCAGTGTCAAATGGAAAATATTGCCATATCTTTTTAGAGAGCGGGTGGTCATGGGGCCTGGGTTTTGGTTTTCCCAAAATTTTAGGTAAATGCTTCAGGTGGCAGCCCCTTTCCATATAAACGCACATATAATCTATTCCTGCTCTCTCTATATGAACAATTATACATTATGTATTCCTGAGTCAGGATCATTTTATTGTTTTGGAAGCAGCAATCAGTCATTCAGATGGTTTTTGAACCAGATATATAATTAGGAAAGAAGCAGGCCACAAAAGTGTTGATTTTAACAATTGTCCTCTAGATCTCTGCTTGTAATTATGTTTAGATTTGGAAAGATTTTATATAGACGTTTTTATGTTATAAAGATTCTCTAAAGATCTCTGCAAATAATCATTTTTATATTTAAACAACTATATATAGAAACCTTGTATGTTGAAAGCTTTCTTCTAGGTTTCTTCGGGCAAGAGCTTGCATTTTCAAAGTTGTCCTCTGGGTCTCTGGGAAAGTAGATATCCCATATATGTGTGTTTTCATGAAAGGAAAGCTCTTGAAAGACAAACTTATTTATTCATATATAGCATCTTTAAATTGACACGACCATTTCCAGAGATCCAGAGGAAAGCTTTTGAAATGAGAGCTTTTATATATTTTATTGTAGACATGATCATTCCCAGAGATCTAGAGGGAAGCTCTTGAATTAGAAACTTGTACATAAAACATGTTTAATATGTCTATATTTTTCCAGTGATTACTGTAAATAAAGAGATCTAACTAGTTTCTCCAAAAAGAGTTTTAGTCTTGTTCCCAGCACTCCCAGGGAAGAAAATACTGTAAAACACGGGGGTTTGTAGACTAGAGCTAGAATAGAATTAGGTAGAATTAAATTGGATTTGAGTTAGAGCTAAGATAGAACTGAATTAACCAAATTTCAACTAAACTTATATTGAACTACAACTATAACCCATTTAAAGTTAGCTGAGAGTTGAATTAGAAAGAAATTGGAATTAAAATTAGAAGTTCGCCCGAATAAGATGTAAAACGCTTGAGCTACAAGATGCACAAGTCGAGGAGGAATCGAAATTACAAAGCCGAAGCAAAAGCAACAAGCATTGAATTAGAACTACAGCTTACACAGATTCATAACCGTTTCATGTAAATTGGAAGGTGTCATTACAGCTTCATGTCAAGCTGATTGGACATGCAATTGGCAACCACATTGATACCAATCAGAAGTTAATGCACAGACTTGTACATGGAGATTTTGACAAGGACAAAGGGAGTGTTGGGCTTAGACGCTTTCATTGTAAGAGCAAAGAACATATGCCTTTAGGTGAGGCTCACATGCTTGAAGGTTGAACGAAATAGTAATAACACAGATTGGCCTAAATAGGAAAACCAAAAAAACTTGAGAAAAACAATAACAACCTAGGAAAATCAAAAAAAACAAAAAACCTTGGGAAAACCCAAAACAAAACAAAACAACGCAATTCTGGGGAAGTCTTGAGGAAAGGGGGGGTCCAGCCAAGAGTCTCTCAGAATTGTTTTTGTTTTTTGTTGTCCCAAGTGTTTTTTTGTTTTGTGTTTGTTTCCTAGGTTGTTATTGGTTTTCCCAAGGCTGTGTTGTGCTTTTAGTTTTTTTTGTACGTTTTTGTTTTTTACTGTAAATTGTTCAGTGTTTTTTGTGGTTTTGATTGTATTTGTGAAAAGTTGTCTACAAATACAGAAAAAAACAAAAACCCAGGCCCCATGGCCACCCCTTGTGTTTTTAACCGCAAAAAAAACATATACATGTCTTCTATTTGATGTGCTTGGTTGCTTTTGCAATATCTTCTATTTGAATTTCATTTGTTGTTCTGCTGTTTTAGCTGATCTGACCTTCAGAAAAAAACTAAACAAATCGAGGTGTTTGTTTACCGTTTTGTACCGGGATTCTGGAAATCTTGGATGGTGCACTATGTCCTCTGGTTTTTGGGTTTGCACCATGTGTCCCGGCTAAATTTTGAACATGATGCTGAAAGAACCGCCAAAACTTGAAGAATTCACTGTAAATACCATGGAATGCTGCTTCTCTGGCATCAGATCTACAAGACCGTTCAAATAGAAGATATTGGAGGTCAGAGCGCCAAAAAACATCAAAAAAGGACCTCTTGCATCACGTAGTTTCTTTTATTTGAAACCTTGCTTGGAGCTTGGAAACCACCAAAACTGCACCTTATCTTTTAAATATTCAAATCATGTTTCTTATATATAAATAGAATACCGGATTAAAAGCATTCCATCATTTCCATATAATACATGGAATGTCTGGGGAGGTTCCTTCTTGTTCGACCATCTGCAATGGGAGGCTGGTTCGACCATCGGCCATATGAAGTGCAATGCTAAACGCACGCTTCTCTGGGCGTGGCGTGGCAAGGTCAACCTAAACGGTCCACTGGTCCCTCCGCTGATGTCCAGCAACCTGATGTCCGAGGACGACCGTTCCTAAGGACAATTCCTCCAGGACGTCTTCGTGTCCGACGCTGAGAACGTCTGTCCCCTTTCAAGAGAAGTCGGTCGCGGCATCAGTTCTTATCTGGCGGAGAAGATGTGTGCGTGTACTCGTGTGCACTGTGCATGGATGGAGACGAAGTCAAAATGTATTTGTTTCTTTCCCTTGAAGATAGCCAAGGGACTGAACTTTGCTGCATTCAAGTCATTAAGCATTATTCAAATACGGTTCACAAGGGCTAAATGCCCCATTCCACCAACGTCTGCTCTGATTCAGCAGGTAGATCTTGGGCGAATTATATATATAGCAATTCTCAGAAAGTGCATTGGCCCAAACATTCCTTGAGATTCTGAAGAGAAGACTATGCTTAACTCTCCGCTTACGCTTAGTGCGCCGCAAATTGAACAAGTCTTCTCCCGGTCGTTGGCTAGTGCACAATCGCATACAAACGCATTACGCGAGACGAAGGGTCATGAGAAGTCCTTTATTGGAATTGGTTCTTTCTGTTTTGGTGCCCACCCAGGCCAGGTCCCTTTTCACCAAATGATTGTTCCATGCTGTCTTCCTTAAACATCCTGAAACCTCCATGGCAACGCTGCGCCGAGCTGCTTTTCACCAACCACCGCGAAATAAAAAGAACAAACAAGTTAAGGAGAAACACGCGTGGAATTCTCAGCGTTGCTCGACCGTTGTCACGTGGCGCGCCGAAGTGCTTCGTGCCGGCAACTCCGCCGCGGTGCCGACCTGAACATCAACTCCACCGAGCCGAAGTGCTTCATGCACCAGGCCTCGAAGCTCGGCAGGCTCTCGCCGCGTGGCGCGGAGCACGAAATGCGAGGCGAACCGTATTCGCAGCCCGTTTTTTTGGACGTCCCTGAAGTGGAGTTGAGTGACCTGCACAAACAACACGGGTGGTGTGAGGGGGGGAAAAGACGGCCTTCTGCTTTGAATAATAGGGTATAGAAGAATTGCCATAATAAAGGTGATTATACTCACTGGTGTCTGCCCCCCCTCTAGTTCGCTGCCCTCTGGAAATGACCACACAATGACTAATTGCAATTACAGTAATTGGTAGCATAGTTGAATGGGGCTGATTTTCAGACCCGGACTTGGAACCGGTTTCTTGACTGGACAACCCAAGAACAATACCGCTGAGAATGATGTTGGCAATCTCCTAGGCTACCTTTGGGGATTTGCGGATTTGCATGTTTACGTGAAAAACACTTGGAACTATATATTGTCCAATCTTGTCCAGTCAACTTGTCAAGTAATGTTGGGGAAACACCACGAGTCAACTTGTCAATTAAATCTCCATGACTAAGAGATCCGGCTGTCTCAGTACTGGTGTCGCGCTCCATGTCTATGGTCACCCGAAAAGGACTTTCGCTGCCCAATCGGTCAGCCTTCCCCACCGGAGTCGGTGTTCGCCCCGGCGCCTTGAAGGACATCAGGATCAACGCGGAGTCCTCGTCGAACTCCTGGACCGACCGCATCAGCGATTCGCATGGACGTCACGGTGGATGAAACGGAACTGGTTAGTGCTGAAGACTCGCTTGAAAGCCTTGAAAGACTCAACTGGTCAAAGGAAGCTTTCAGGATCACTACTGGTTGTGTCAAAGGTGTTGATTGCTTATATATGAGTACCTGCGCTGACTGTCTGATCCCCAAATAAGTTAAAGAACATCGAAGTTGGTTTCGCAGCTGGGGTTGGCTTCTCAATGACCAGGGTATCCTGCAGTTTCGCGCTGAAAACATGACCCCTGTCTTCGGTCAGACCCAGTTTGAAAAAAAACGCACTGAACCCCGGAAGAATGGAGTGAACATGAACTGGATTCACAAATACTATCAAACAATCCCATATATATATATATCAATCACGTTCTCTCGTGAGCTTTGAACAAAGCTCACAGGACATTCG